GGGCCCCGAGGAAGGGGCTTCAAATTATGGCTTTGCTTGAAGGTCTCCTCGCAGGCCACTGAGGTGTACCCACCACCCCCGGTGTGGATGTGCTGGTGGAGGGTGAACTGCTGCTTGTATGTGAAGCTCTTTTTGCAGGCCACTGGTGCTGCGGCGTGGCTTTTCTGGTGGCACACAAGGCTCTTGTAAAGGCGGAAATGTTTCCCGCAGTCTGGACAGGCAAACATTTTGTCCTCCAGGCAGTCGCGGAAGTCTGTCAGGGCATCAGGACTTCCGAAGCCACCTTCTTCCTGTCTGGGATTCTTGGCGTCCCTTTGCTGTTGTACAAAGTACCGGCTGGCAACGGAGGCTGCTTGGGGGTGAGCGTGGAGGAGAGTCTTGTCTGTGCACTTGAGCCCCAAACTTTCACACAGCGCTCGCTGAGCTTGGAGCACCTCGGCTTTGAAGGCCAACCCGTCATCTGGGGGGATTGAAAGAAAAGGTCATGGGGGCATGCTTCTCCAATGGACACGACTTATCCACCCAGTGGACTGCCCTAGTCAATGGGCTAGGACCCTCTTTATGCACGGCCGGAAGACCCCCTCGGTCCAGCCTCGCTGCAGCACACCTCCCTACATGCCACACAAGGGAACCCAGCCTCTTCCCTGCCCTGAGGTGAGCATGGTTTGCTTTCCTTCTGTGTGAAGGAAATGCTGTCGGATCTGGCTACGCACGATGGGAGGAAGCCAAGCAGCCCTTCCTTGCTTGCCTCCTTTCAACAATGGAAACCAATTCCGGGTGCGCTAATGTACTCCGCTGCATTGAATTCGCATGCCAAAATAACCCAGTGGGGAGTCACTTCAGCCAACCATCCCCAAAGTTTGCTTTAGTGCTGAGATTTTTTGCTTTTCAAGAACTGTTGGATATACAGGTAGTCCTCAACTCGTGACTGTAATAGAGCCTGCATGATAGATGTTAAGTGAAGCACCCACGTGATCGCCTCATTGATGACCCTGCTTTCCATGAAACAACCATGTGGGTTGTTAAGCCGAGCACATGGTAGGTGCCTTGGGTTACCAGGGGAGGCCCTGGGAGCTCTAGCACAGGCTTGCTCCAGGCCTACCAAGACCCTCTGCACCCAGAGGCACCCTGTGCTACACTTCCCACCCCTCAGGGTCCCTGCAGGGGAATCCCACCCCATGGTACTCCACACCCAACTCCTCATCATGAGTCAACCACTGTCCACTTAACTTTCAATTATCTCTGGATCTCTGATTCGCAAAGCAAACCACTTTGTTCCTGGGTCGCAAGGCATGTTTTCAGAAGCAGCCGCCTTTTCAGAGCACTCACAGTTCACTTCGTTGTGGCAACCGCTTCCTGGATCATGCCACACGGCCCAGCAATGGGGCGGCCTGTCCTCCATACCTGACCTGAGCAATGGAGCTCCAGACAACTGAGGAAGAGGAGGATGTAGGACTATGTTGGGTGGGATCCAAAGCTTGCAGGGACCTCGAGGGGGAGAAGATACACAGTTGGTCGTAAGAGTGAACAGCTGCACAGACTCTACGGCAGCCGTTAACTCCAGAATTGGGTTGTGTCAGTCGTTTTTGGTAGGTCTGCCATAATTGTGTACTATCACTAAGGTTATCCCCAAAGTGCTTTGCCAAAAGGTAGCTTAGACTTAGAATAACTATTGTCACTTTGAATGTACACAAATCGGCATACATTAAAATGAAATTTCATTGCATACAACTCTCAAAAGGTCACCACCACCCATATACACTACATAAACATGACAAAATAAATAAAATTATGCATATACCCAAATATATTATTTGACACATATAAAGTTCACAACTGGACTTTCTTGCTTTCTTTCCTTGAAAATGTTTTGCTTTTCACCCCAGAAGCTTCTCTGGTTCACTGAACTTCATTCTTCGGTTCATCCCTCAAGAAGCTTCTGGGATGAGAAGCGAAGGGTTTTCAAAGGGGGAAAACCCTCCAGAAAGTGAAGTTGCCTTTTGGAAAAAGAACATCTCTGACCTGCAGAACAACCCAGACCTGCAGGATTGAGACTCTCCATAAATGTCCCTAAGGTTGTAAGCCGAGGACTAGCTGTAATTTATAAAGGATTCACTTTATGGCCGGGTGCACTGGACAAATTGTTGGCATCACTGTCCACCTCACCCTGGATAATCGCACCCCACCCATTCTGGGAACGTGACTGTGTTCCCGAAGAAGAGGGCAAGCAGGTAAGCGCATTTTAGCGAGTCTCGAACATGGAAAGACAAAAGGGAGAAAAGCAACATGATTGTCCTTTGTCCCCCACCCCAAGGCACCTGTGGGAAAAAGTCTGAAACGGGAAGGGGGTTAGCTTTGTTCTTACATGAAGTTCTTTGCTCTCCCGGAGACTCCTTGCAGCTCACCAACCTGCTCATCCCAGCCCAGTTTTTTGTCCAGGTGGTGTCTAAACCAGCCTCACCCAATCTCCAGAGTCGCCACCTCGGAGCCTCCTGGCCATCCTCGCCTCTGGCCCCTGCCACCCTCTGGGGCCACCAACTTCCACTGGCTCCACCCTGGGGACACGCCCAGAGATCTTGGTCCCAAGACAAACCAGCATTCAGGGTCTCCGTCCCAGGGATCAGTTGCCCCTCCCAAATCGAACAGGGATGGTGGCTTAGTGCAGCGGTCCCCAACGTTTATGGCTTGGTGGCCTGGCAGGAGGGGAGAAACTGGCCCTCCACTTGCGGTAATTAAGCCACTCGTGCAAGTCAAGCTGCGCATGTGACAACCAGCCACTTGCACGGCCCAGTTCCAAACAGGCCACAGGGCAGTAGTGAGCCACAGCCTAAGGATTGGGGACCCCTGGCTTAGTGGGTTGGGACAAAGCCATCTGGATGCATTTATGGTTTCATTTTGGCTATAATTATTGTGAGAGTCACTCAACACTGAGGTGAGCAACATATACATATAATAAATAATGTTAATGTAATAAATAGATTGATACCACCGTGTGACTCATCCTAGGCCCAAGAGATCAGGCTTTATATTTTACAAGGCAGCTTTACAAAATGCCAGAGGAGGGAAAACGACAGGCAAAGGATCACTTTTGGGATCTGAGTGGAGAGAACCAGTGGTGGGATACGACCGGTACACCCTGGTATGGGCGTACTGGTGCCTGCTGGGAGCACCAGGTACTGTTCTGGTACGGTGCTCCGGAGGGGCCTCCCGCCCTCCCTGCCTGTATTTGAGCCGATCGGGGCTTACGCGCACAGAGCTTACGGCGCCTGTGCGATGCTCCGCTGAGCAGCTGGAGAGTTGCAGAGCACAGCGGGTGGTAAGTACACATGCGTGCGCTGTGCGTGTGCATGTGGTGGACGCCCGACTCCATTGCACCATACTGGTCGCAATGGGATCCAGAACCCACCACTGGGGAGAACCCATACTCACATTGGCTCAACCAGTGGAAATATTCAGGGACCACTGGACCCAAACTAGCCTCTCTTCTCCACAGGTAGCCAGAGCAGCACAAGGGATTCCCCCTCAACCATAGCATCTGAGCAGCAAAACCACATCAAAAATAGCTCAGCCCAAGACAAAGGGCAGTGGGGTAGCAAGGAATGGCAGAAACTCACCCCTAAGCCAGAAAGTGAACATGGTCCACTCCTGACTGCGGACATAAAGCAGGCTTCACTTTGTCCCATTAAATTTGCAGGATTGAATGAAGACAATGAGGAAGGGGATCCTCAGGGGGGAGGAGAGAATCTCCAGCTACAGAAGGGGGTGGTGAAAAGAGATCCTCCCCCTTAAGACCACCCAAAGCCTTTGCGTCTTCCCACGTGAATGCAGTCAGTCTGGCGAGATTCTTGTAAATAGGCAAGCTGCAATCAAGAAGCAACTTGCATCAGCTCATGGCGTCATTCTGGTTTTTTGCACCCAACATAAACCCGGATAACAAGATTGCCTTTTGCTAGCTTGTTCCTGGGAATGCAGACCCACTCCTTCCTCTCTCCTCACCTACTCTGCCCTGCCTAAAAGGAACCCAACGGGGGGTGGGGGGGGGAGGTTAAAATACACTCTCGGCATAACGTGAAAGTAAGTCCACTTCCTTTGCTTCAGACTGCACATCAACACCAAATCTTCCAAGGTAACTGAATCATTTGTTGTGCATCTTGAGGGTTAGGGGTAACAGTCCCCAACCTTTCTGGCTTGGCGGCCCGGTTGGGGGCAGGGGGTGATAGTTTCTTGTGAGTGGCAGATGGGCGCACACAAATGCAGCTACATTTGTGTGAGCAGTGGGCGCCCGTAACTGCTACTCGAGCAAAGGGAGCTTCAGGCGTGACAGCAAGAGGTCACTGCTCGTGCGAAGGAGCTTCACACATGTGCATGAACTTGCCTGCTGCCTGTGTGACCCAGTTCTAAACAGCCACAGCCCAGTAGTGGATCGTGGCCCAGGGGTTGGGGACCCCTTGGTTAGGAAGATGGCCACACCTCTGGATACGTCCCAAAAATACTTTTACAAAAGGCAACTGGAGTTATCTTCAGAGACAGACAGACGCCAATGAAGGGAATGAAACAAGCCAAAGGATCGTGACGAGCTTCTCGCCTCCCGGGTCTTTGGGCTAGAAGACAGTCGGGGAGACATGGGTCAGGGTGTGGAGAGCTCATTGGTGGTGGAAAATGGCCTACAAAGCAGCAGAAAGAAGGCCTGCCCATTGCGTATACCCCAGAGACCACTCTCCGCAGTGAACGGACCAACAAACAACCTGGAAGGAAGAAGTTAACAGTGACAACCTAAGAGGAAAGTCTGCAGGCTGGAAAGAGGACAACCACAGCAAGCCTCAAAGCATTAATAATCAAAGACACCCCCCCACCCCCAAGGACCATCTTCTCAGGTGGAGGGAATGAGGAGATGCAGCCCCCCCACACCCCCAGCAGGTGGAGTGGAATACAGGTAGTCCTCGACTTATGACCACAATGGAGCCAAACATTTCCGCTGCTAAGTGAGATGTCTGCAAAGGGGTTTTTGTCCCATTTGACGATCTTTCTTGCCACTGTTGTTCAGTGAATCCCTGCAGCGGTCCAGGTGAGAACACCGCTATTTAAGTGAATCTGACTTCCGGCTGGTCAGAAGATAGCCAAAGAGGGACCACGTGACACACACACACACACACATGGGATACTGCACCCATCATAAATAGGAACCATTTGCCAAGCGTCTGAATTTCGATCCCATCACCCTGGGGAGACTGTGACAGTCATTAAGTGTGAAAAACTAGTCGCAAGTCCCTTTTTTCAATGCTGTTGAAACTTTGGTCACTAAATGAATGGTCATAAGCCAAGGACTGCCTGTATTCAGCAGCATGCTGCCTGCCTAAAGGAATTTTTTTTGAGTTCAAATGACAGCAAATGGGTTTCAGTTTTAGCATTCTGAGAACTGTCTCATGATTCAAGCCCAGCGATGGGGGGAAAAAAATACAGGGACGTAAAATGAAACGCAAGTAGGATTTGAGACATCCTCGGTGTTCTTGCATCTCGGAGCCTGAAAAACAACACGGTTCCATCCAGCAAGATACTCACCCATGCTCGGCGGGACGTGCAGCTTGCTTTTGTCTGAGAGGTCGGGGGCGTCCACGTTCCCCTCTGGATCTCGCTTCCCTTGGGATCTGAAGGATGTCTGGGTGACTTTGTCATCTGTTCAACCAAAGAGAAGGTGACACTCGTGGTTGCTTTGGGATCTTCCTCCTCTTCCTGCCAAGCATCCGCATCATGCATGCATCCTGCCAAGTCAACCGAGGCTCTTCTTGGCGGCCTCCCTTAGCAAGAATCTGACTTCTACCACCAAACAACCACACCGTAATGACCACAATTGAGCTCACTTCTCTTGCTAAACGAGACGGTTTTTCAGGGAGCTCAGTCCCATTTTACGACTTTTGTTGCCACAGTTGTTAAGCGAATCACTGCAGTTGTTACATTAATCACACAGCTGTTAAGCTAATCAGGCTTCCCCATTGATTTTGCTCGTTGGAAGGTTGCAAAAAGGGATCATGTGAGCCCGGGAGACACGGCAACAGTTGTAAATGTAAACTAGTTGCTAAGTGTATGAATTTTGATCATGTGACCACATGGAGGCTACAATGGTTGTAAGCATGAAAATGGTCATAAGTCTCCCTTTTCAAGGCCCTTGTAACATTGAACAGTCACTAAATAAATGGTTGTAAGTCAAGGACTGTCTTTATTCAACTATTTCAATATATTTTGTATTCAATGTTTTTCTGAAGTATGAAAATCAATCATAAGTTCCCTTTTTCGATGCTGTTGAAACTTTGAGCAGACATGGTTGTAATGGTTGTAAGTGGAAGACCCTCCGTATTCAACTATAGGTAGTCCTCAAATTACGACCACAATTGAGCACCAAATTTATGTTGCTAAGTGAAACACTGGTTGAGTGAGTTTTACCCCATTTCATGACTTTTTCATGACTGGCCACTGTTGTTAAGTGAATCCTGGCAGTTGTTAAGTTAGTCACATGGTCGTTAAGTGAATGTGACTTCCCCATTAAGTTTGCTTCTCAGAAAGTTGCAAATGGGGATCAGGTGACCCCGGGACACTTCGACTGTCATAAATATGAACCAGTTGCCAAGTGTCTGAATTTTGATCCTGTGAGTACAGGGGTGCTACAACAGTCGTTAAGTGTGAAAAATGATCCTAAGTCACTTTTTTCACTGCCGCTATAACTTTGGTCACTAAATGAATTGTTGTAGGTTGAGGACTAGCTGCATTATATTTTGTGTTCAATGTTTTTCGAAAACAGAAAGCGTGTTTTCTTTCTTATACCCTTTCTTTAATTTCCACTTATCCAGAAGATATTCATCGCAACGTCTTCACCGGCAAGGGAAACCCGAAAAAATATTTTATTTGGCATTTGGCAAGATTCTTTGTTGGCACAAAGCCTTGCTGGGGTCACAGACCCCTCCAAAAATATGCTAAATTTCCAAACGTGGTTAGCTGCCACTTACCAATGCCGGATGCCTGTGGGACCGTCCGTGCTTCCCCGTGTTCCCCTTCTCGACCTCCTTCTGCAGGGGAGGAGAGGCAGGGTCTAAAAACCAGGATTTCTGTGTTGGATGACATAACAGAGAGATTGTGATGACCCAGGACAAGGCACAAAGGCCACACACTGAAGAGTTCAAACTTCCCTTTAATGCTGCAACTCCCCCCGCCCCCAATGCTCCCACATTATGCAAGTCCCAGAGCAAAGCTTTCATTCACACACACAGACAAAGCAGCCTTTGGCTATGTGCTGTCCATGTTAGTACAACGGCTTCAAAACAAGAAGTGCAGCAAGGCAAAGGAACAAAGAAATGAATCCACGAAGCAAGGAAGAAGCAAGCAGTCCTGCAAATGCCAGACGTCGGCAACGGCACACAAAACTCCACAAATTCCGTTTTTTCCCGACAAACGCCCCTCCCCACAGCGTCTTCTTATGTCTTAGTCCCCAGGTTTGCCTTGTGAAGAGGGGCGGGGCGCTCTCCTACCAAGTCGTCAGGTCGGCCTGCACGGTTCCTGTCTCCTCTCCACGCTCCGTGCTCGGGGATCAGGAGGGGTTGGTCCTTGCTCGTTGCCTGAGCTCCATCGCTCCTCATTTCCACTGTCTGCCCACTCTCAGTTATCTTGCCTGTGTTCCTCCCTGCTGGTAAGCCGTCCCAAGCCAGAAGGGTCCAGGGCTGCCTCGTCCTGCTCCTCCCCTCATTCCTCTGAAGCCAATGAGGCCGCCCCCTCGACCTCCATCCAGCTCAGCTCCTGCTCGTCCTCCTCCGCAGATTCAGGCTCCAACGGGGGCATGACAAAGGTTTTTGCTGCAGAATTGGGCCCTGGCAAGACTTCATGGCTTCACTCAATTTTAAAATTCACAGCAGATATTCTTTTACGGGTGATCCTCGAGTTACGACCACAATTCAGGCCAAAACTTACGTGGCTAAGCATGTTAAGTGAGTTTTGCCCCATTTTACAAACTTTGCCATGGTTGTTAAGCAAATCAAAGCACTGATTAAGTTAGTCACATGGTTTTTAAGTGGCTTCCCCGTTGACTTTGTTGCTCACAAAAGGGGATCATGTGACCCAAGGACACTGCAACTGTCATAAATACGAGTCAGTTGGCAGGCGTCTGAATTTTGATGAGGTGACGTTCAGCAGGGATGCTACGATGGTTGGGTGAAAAATGGTCATGAGTCCCTTTTTCCAGTGCCATTGTAACTTTGAACAGTCACTAAATGGAAGAGTTGTAAGCCAAGGACTACCTATGGACACCAGTTTGGGGTAAAAACCTTGCGATTCTGTCTCTGACTGACCATCAAAACCAGGTTGTTAGCATCCGTTGACAAGTCTGCCGTCACTTCATACAGTTGCTAAGAAACCAGTCGTAAATCAAGGACTACCCATACTTAACAATCCCACCTCCTGTTTTGTACCCTGTGACCTGGGTTGGGCCGAGGTGCCTGCTGAGGAATTCACAAAGTTGCCAGGTTTGGAGACCCCTGATTCTAGCCCCTTCCTCCTCACCTGGGCTGGGTTCCGAAGTTATCACCCTGTCCGTCACTGCTGCCTCCTCTTCCTTGGCAGAGGGACGTTCCCCTTGCTCAATCCGGGACAGAAGATCCGGTTTAGCTATGGCATAGTCTGTTGGAGAAAAGAGCATGCCCTTAGCAAGATAAGTTTGATTGGAATGAAAAATACAGGGGATCATGTGACCTGTATGTAGCTTTATGCAACAACTGCAGTAGTATTCAGCCAACAGAGGGCAGTGTTTACAAGTTAGGATCTATGGTAGATGCTCTGTGCTCTTTTGTTCTAAGTCCGTGATGGCGAACCTATGGCATGCGTGCCACAGGTGGCAGGCAGAGCCATGTCACCTGGTGTGCCAAGCCTTGCCCAGTGGCCATCCTGGTGTCTGGCGTTAATGCGTGCGCAACAATCAGCTCCCAAATAGCGGCCAGCTGATTGGCGCGTACGCATGCATGCAGAAACTGAAAGTTAATTGAGCTCCTTTTACTTCATGCACGAAGCTGAACTCTCTGGATGCTCTTCTCCCGCTTGCTGATCTGGCTACTCTCTCTTGACTGTAAGTTGCCCAAATGAGATGGGCTAGCTCAGGGGTGGGGGCTGGCTGCAGCAGAGCTGGAGGAGGCGGTGGCTGCGAAGCCTCGGGGCTCCTGGAGCTCATGGTTGAATCTCTCCCCGATGAGCGAGGGGGTCTGTTCCCCCCCCCCTCGTGAAGCTGCGAAGGCTGGGCTAGGCCGAACAAACAGCCCAAGAGACCACAAGAGAAGCGCCGCACCTGTCTACCGGCAGCTCATCTGGGGGAAGGGAAAGAGGAGGGAGAAACAAGGACAGGGAGGAGACTTGCAGGAAAGGGAGAGAGCAGGGGAGAAAGGCTGGGATGAGGGACCGAGGGCCAAAGGGTCCCTGTGGGGCTTGTTTGTAAATATTAACGTGGGTGCTCCAAGCAGAGACAGACAGCCCAGAGGAGCTGAAATGACTGCCTCCGGGCCTCTCCCATTCCTCCCCCAGCCCTGCCTGGCTAGGTTTACAGCTGACTCTCCTAGGTTAGGCAAGGCTCAAGTCTGCCCACAGCGACTCCCTCACACCCACGGCCAACGCAGAGGGGAAATGGAGGAGG